ACCAATGGTTATTAGTCATTACCAGGGGCAGGAGGGGGAAGGGAGAGAGGGAATCAATTTCTGGGATGTAATGAAATTTTGTTTATGGTGTTGGGAAAATTGGCATCAACTAAGGGTGATGGTTATACAACTTGATAAACGTAACTGGTATCACTAAGATGTATACCAGAAAAAGGTAAAATGGCAAACAGTGTTATATACAATGTTATAACAACAGCAGCCAAATAATAACAATAAACTTAAAAAAAAGAGGCAGCAGTTGTTGATACTACTTAGGTACAGCTAAACACTTCACGGGATGAGTTTTCTTGGTTCAAGGTTTAGGGTCATGGTTTCAAGGGTCTGTCCAGTCAATTGGCCTCATATTGTTTTTAGAAACTCTGTTCTACCTCCTTGTTCAGTGAGTAGTGCGCAGGGTCTTAAAAGCTTGTAGGCAGCCATCCAAGATACAGCGATTGGTCTCTATTTGCCTGGAACACCAGAGGAAGACAGAAACCCAGGAATCAGAGAAGGAAATGGACTGCTGGTCTAACTGCCTCCATGTACTACTACCACCATTACCATGAGACCAGAAGAACAGGATGATGCCCAGCTACTATTACTGTACGTTCTGATGAAGGACCCAATAGATGGATCCTGATCAAAAAAAAGGAAAAATGTCTCAAAGAATTTCAAATTCTTATAGAAACCAGACTCACTGGACCCACTGAGACTGGGGGAAACCCCAGATTTATTGTCCTGAGATAATCTTTGAGCTTTGAACTGAAATTATCCCATGAAGTCATCTTTAAACTAAACAGTTAAGCTTAACTAGTAAAGGATGTTTGCCTCGAGCAGTGGGCTCTTTTAAATAATTATCTACATGACAACAGTAACTGTAAAACACAGAGGAGTTTAGGGGACAGAGAGTCTAAGTTAATGGTGCTGAAGCAATATGGGTAGAGATAGGAAGAATGGTGGCACAGTGTGAAGAATACAACCAATGTCATTGCACTATACATGTAGAATATGTTGAATGGGTGTATGTTTTGTTATTGTTATGGATTGAATTGTGTCCCCACAAAATACATGTTGTACATCTTAACCTCTATGCCTGTGGTTATAATCCCATTTGGGAATGGGTTGTCTTTGTTATCTTAAGGAGGCAGGAGTAGAGTAGGGTGTATCTTGAGTCAATCTCTTTTGAGATATAAAAGATGTTAAACAAGCAAGCTAGGAAGCAGAAATGGGGGGTAAGATAGATGCCAAGACACATGGAGATCTCCATGGAATCAAGAAGCAGAAGCTGAAGAGACAAGGACCTTCCTCCATAGCTGACAAAGAGAGAAAGCCTTCCTCTAGAGCTAGTGCTCTGAATTCAGACTTCTAGCCTCCTAAATTGTAAGAAAATAAATTTCTATTTGTTAAAACCATCCACTTGTGGTATTTCTGTTACACCAGAACAAGGTAAGTAACACAGTTACGGATACCATTTTTACAGAACAAAAAACAGTGATAGACTACTTACTCCTGATGTGAATGGATGTAATAGGTACCTTCTTTTGTAATCTTTAAATTTATTTTGTTAAAGCACTGATATAAAATTCAGATTAAAAAATTAATGGAATATAAAAACAAAGTGATACATGAATGAGGAAATCAAGAGAAGTTATTCTCATGTTGAGAAATGTATAGTAACAGTTTTCTTCAGATCATGACACAAGCAGTTAATTCATTAAAGGGAAGAGATAAATTGCAAATAAAAGTAATAAATAGGTTCTTGGATTGTTTGATAATTTAATTCACGAAGAGAAGTGAATTATATAAACACATTAAAATTTTTTAAATTTCTTTCTGATTTGACCTCAGTTGACATCAATGAAGATAACATAAAACTAATAACACATGACTACAATAAGTATATTGATGACTAATGAGTACCTTAAATTCAAAGAATACATAAGATTAGCAGCTGTGTGAGAAAACTTGAAATGCTCCTATTGAAAAAGAATTTGATTTCTGAAATTTGACAATACTGAAAATTTATATATTACCAATAATGAGCTGTAGAGGTGAAAAAAATTTTCTGAACAAATACTGATCAACTACGTTAGAGGAAATACTACACATTATCTATTACCTTTCTAGAACTCATACTCATAGTGACCCTACAGGACAGAGTAGAACTGCCCCATAGGGTTTCCAAGGAGCAGTTGGTGGATTCGAACTGCCTATCTTTCGGTTAGCTGCCGTAGCTCTTAACCACTACGCCACCAGGGCTCCAGTAATATTTTCTACAGACAATATCACAAAAATGTTCTCATATGAAGTTTGTTGAAACATCTCAATTGGTATTTGTCAATTCCTGAAGCCTAGTTTTTTGCCAATGCCTTCAGTGTAGCTTGGACTTCTTCCTTCAATACCACAGGTTCTTTATCATCTGCTACCTTCTGAAATGGTTGAACGTCAACCAATTCTTTTTGGTACAATGACTCTATGTATTCCTTTCATCTTCTTTTGATGCTTCATGCATCATTCAATATTTTCCCCATAGAATCATTCAGTATTGCAACTCAAGGCTTGAATTTTTTCTTCAGTTCTTTCAGCTTGAGAAATGCCTAGTGTATTCTTCCCTTTTCATTTGCTAACTCCAAGTCTTTGCACATCTCATTATAATACTTTCGTCTTCTCAAGCCACCCTTTGAAATCATCTGTTCAGCTCTTTTACTTCATCATTTCCTCCATTCGCTTTAGCTACTCTACATTCAAGAACAACTTTCAGAGTGTCTTCTGACATCCATTTTGGTCTTTTCTTTCTTTCCTGTCTTTTTAATGACCTTTTGCTTTCTTCATGCATGATGTCCTTGATGTCATCTCCCAACTCATCTGGTCTTCAGTCATTAATGTTCAATGCATCAAATGTATTCTTGAGATGGTCTCTAAATACAGGTGGGATATACTCAAGATCCTATTTTGGCTCTCATGGACTTGTTTTAATTTTCTTCAGCTTTAACTTGCATATGAGCAATGCGTGGTCTGTTCCACAGTTGGCCCCTGGCCTTGTTCTGACTGGTGATATTGAGCTTCTCCATCATGTCTTTTCACAGAAGTAGTCAATTTGATTCCTGTGTATTCCGTCTGGTGAGGTCCACGTGTATCGTTGCCATTTATGTTGTTGAAAAAAGGCATTTACAATGAAGAAGTCATTGGTCTCGCAAAATTCTATCATGCAATCTCTGGCATCATTTCTATCACCAAAGCTGTATTTTACAACTACCAAACCTTCTTCTTTGTTTCCAACTTTCACATTCCAGTCACCAGCAATTATCAATGCATCTTGATTGAATGATCAATTTCAGACTGCAGAAGTTGATAAAAATCTTCAATAGCTTCATCTCTGGCATTAGTGGTTGGTATGTAAATCTGGATAATAGTCATATTAACTAGACCTCCTTGTAAGCATATGGATATTATCCTATCACTGATAAGGTTGTACTTCAGAACAGATCTTGAAATGTTCTTTTTGACAATGAATACTCATCTGTCAATTTGTTGTACTGTGGTGGCTTGCGTGTTGCTGCGATGCTGGAAGCTATGCCACTGATATTTCAAATACCAGCAGGGTCACCCATGGTGGACAGGTTTCAGCAGAGCTTCCAGACTAAGGAAGACTAGGAAGAAGAACCTGGCAGTCTACTTCTGAAAAGAATTAGCCAGTGAAAACCTTATGAGCAGCAGCGGAACATTGACATAGTAGCAGAAGATGAGCCCCTCAGGTTGAAAGGCACTCAAAACACAACTGGGGAAGAGCTGCCTCCTCAAGGCAGGGTCAACCTTAATGACGTGGATGGAGTCAAGCTTTGGAGACCTTCATTTGCTAATGTGGCATGACTCAAAATGAGAAGAAACAGCTGCAAACATCCATTAATTATTGGAATGTGGAATGTATGAAGTATGAACCTTGGAAAATTGGAAATCGTCAGGAATGAAATGGAACGCATAAAGATCGACATCCTAGGCATTAATGAGCTGAAATGGACTGGAATTGGCCATTCTGAATCAGACAATCATATGGTCTACTACGCCTGGAATGACAAATTGAAGAGGAATGGCGTTGCATAAATCGTCATCCTGTTGTACTGAGTCAGAATAGGCTTGACAGGTTCACTTTGCCAGGGATATTTATATTCTCATACACTTCAGCAGAGTAACCACTGAAATGTCTGGAGCTCTGTGTTTCACAGAATTTCCACCCTCCTAAGATTACTTAATAATGTGGTTGGGTGAGCATATTTCAGGGATTTTGTTTTTGTTCAATGTGTACAACCTCCAACATCTACCAAGCAGGATCTTAAAAATTCACCACAGATTATTAAGGTAAGGGTGTCAGGATATCACTAACTCGTTTTTTTGTTTTTTTTAACCACTGTGTCATCAGTGGAATAGCAAAATTACACCAGGCTTGGGATTAATAGCTGACATTGCTCTAAATTTAATAGCTGAGCAAAATGAGAATGTTAATACCCACCTCACAAGTTGTAGAGAAAATTAAATATGATTAAGCGTAGTGTTCGCTGACCTGGGTGTAAATATGGTAGAGCTCAGACTTTATCCACCTGCTGATCTTAAATATCCGGCAGCCACATTTCTCCTTTCCCTTTCTCTCAACTGGCTACTGTTTGATAACTCCCATGTTTTCATCTGATCTTCCCTCCACTTTAGTCTTTCCATCAAATGCTCAGAAATAGGTCCTACCAGAACCCAAGCAGAGCTTCAGCCTGAAGCAAGCCTGAGTCTCCCTCTCATCCCACTCGTTCCCCGCTTTTCTGTCACTTTCCGGATTTCCCTTGCCGTTGCTCCCGCCCTCCCTCCGCTCCCTTTCCGCCCGCAGCCACGCCCCGCCCGGCCTAATCCGCCACCGCCCGTCACGTGACCGCACGGCGTGCTCCGCCCCCTGTCCCGGATCATGTGATCGCGCCTAAGGCGAAAACGCCTGACACCTTACCCTCCCCCCAAACCCCGGCCTTCACTGCACAGGCTTCTCTTCTTGCTGCTTATCAACTTCTCGCCCTCCCGCCACCTGCGCGTCCCTCCACCGGTCCCGGAGTCCCCTGGCGCTCTGTCCGCCATGCGGCGCCTGCTTCTGGCCCCAGGTGGGCCCTGGCGGGGCAGTTTCCGTCGCTTACCTGCCTGCAGTGGCTGCAACCCAGCGCTGCTGCTGCTGCTGCTGCTGTTCCAGGGCAGCTGCCTGGGGGTCTCCGGGGCGGCAGCGAGCTCTCGGAGACCCAATGTGGTGCTCCTTCTCACAGACGACCAGGACGAAGTGCTCGGCGGCATGGTAACTCGTCTATTTCTGCCCCGCCCCTTTCATATTCAGGACTGACTCTCTGGTTTCTTGCTCTTTGCCAGTCTTCACCCGCACTGCCCGAACTGACTGCCTTGACCCTAGTTTGGTTTTGCAATGCCAGGCCCTTTACGCAGGCTTGAGGGGCCGCCGGACTTTATTTCCTGTTCATTTTTCCGCGTTTCTTCTGGGTGTTCATGTATTCTCTCTCTCTCTGTCTCACACACACCCACACCCCCACACCCCCACCCCCACCCCACACACACCACACAGGGTTCCTAGTCTGGTCCCTGCTGCTGCTAGGGGAGTGTGTTCTCGAATCTCAAGATAAACGTGGACGCATTGGGGATGGGTTGAATCAAGGAGGAGCAGATGTCGGCTAAGAGCACACAAGCCTTGATGGTTTTTCTTTTGGATCAGACAACTAATCCAGCCCCCATTTACGAGGGACTTAGGCCACCTCTGCATTTGTGGCTATCACGTCTGTCCCTGATGTTTATAAAGTATACTAATCTGTAGCCCAAGCCCGTTGCTGTCGAGTCCATTCTGACTCAGAGCGACCCTCTAGGGCAGGGTAGAGCTACCACATATAGTTTCCAAGGAGCGGCTGGTGGATTTGAACTGCCGACCCTATGGTTAACAGCCAAGCTCTTAACCACTACGCCAAACTCTTCACTGTGTGCTTTTCTCACAAGAACCAAGAAAATTCAATTAGCCTCATTAAACACCTGGCTGATGGCATTGCCTACTGTCAGTGTTCCATTTTGTATCAGATGAATATTGTCATGAGACTTCATTCTTTACCAGAGTTAATTTTGCTTTTGCTATCTTAGAGTTCTGGAATTTATGGCCTCCGTGAACATTCATCTAATCCGTACTCACAGAGGCTCAGAAGGTGGCTTACCCAAGGTCACATAAGTAGTTGAGGCAGAGTCCCGTCAGAACCTTTCCTGGTCCTTTCTCTGGTCCTGGATCCTGCCAAGTGCTTTATTGCTTGCGTTGTTTAGTTCTCTTTTTGCTTTCAGCTGAATGCTGAGATATGAACGCACTTTAGACAAGAGGTTCTGAGCTTTTCCTGTGTGGTAACACCCTAGCTCAGTGTCCTTCAGACTGCTGGTTTCAACCCATGAGTGAATTGTGAAATCAGACTAGTGAGTAGCTACAGCATTTTTGCTTTCCTGTGGAATAGAGTAGGGAAATGTCCGTGTGTTACATGTAGTAAAGGTAAGCATACCCATATGTGTATATGTCTGGATTGGTAAGTAAATTGTATTTCTTACCCTGGGCTGTGTTCTAGAGCGTGGGAGTCTTTTCTAGCTAGCTGATGATTAAGATATTTGCATTTTGAGTCTACACTTCTTCCAGCCACACATGCCTCATTGTCATTTAGTTTCAGTTCCCTTCTTCAGTGAGACTTGAATCTCATTTAGTGAGGGAGTGTCACATCTTTTCCTAATTGTTTAATAATCTGATTGTACCAACCCTCTCATTTTTTGTGGATTTTACTTTGGTTTTGCTGCTATTCGAACTGCTGTGCTTCACTCTTTCTCACAACATGCCTTTTTTTTCTTTTGTGTCCTTGAAGAGTCCGGAAAAAGCTAGCTATTTGTCACAAACTGATAATTCATTGACTAAAGCATTTAAGTAAAAGGTCAAACTTGCATGTCTTTGTTGTAAACAAAGTTCATTACTTAAATATAAGAATTTTGTTTTTTCAGTTCTCATAGAAAACAACCTATCGTCTGTGTATATTTAAGGTTTCTTCTTTTAGCATGTTAATCTTATTTGGTTCTTTAAACCAGTGGCAGATTCTTTCTTGTAGGTGTTTGTCCTAGAGAGAGGAACCAAAATTGAGTGGAGGAAATAAGTCAAACTTAATGCTCCTAATTGTCTTGAGAATTCTGGGTTCTCTTGTAACCATTTTCAGAATATTCTATTACTAATTGTCAAACGGGGTCGCTGGGTAGTGCAAATGGTTAATGCGCTTGACTGCTAACGAAAAGGTTGGAAGTTTGAGTCTAACGAGAGCCTCCTCAGAAGAAAGGCCTGGTGATGTACTTCTGAAGAATCAGCCATTGAAAGCCCTGTGGAATGCAGTCCTACTGTCAAACACATAGGGTCATCATGATACAGAATCCATTCAAAGGCAACTGGTTTTTTAAATTGTCAAACAGGATTTGATGGAGAAGATCTAAGATAACAATAGCATTTGAAAACCTCCTAGGAGCGAGCCAGGTTGTGAGGTATTTTACACCTGTGCTTCAGTCATCATAAGAGCCCTTTGGTGGAGATATTGTCAGTCTTTTGCCATCAGCTTGATTTTGACTCATGGCAACCCTGTGTGTTACAGAGTAGACCTGAACTCCATAGGGTTTTTTTGCTGTAATCTTTATGGAAGCAGATTGCCAGGCCTTTCTTCTGTGGCACTGCTAGGTGGGGTTGAACCACCAACATTTCAGTTTGTAGTAGAATGCAAACTGTTTACATCACTCAAAACTCAGAGGGGGTGTGGTGCAATGAATTGCTTTTATATGGCCTTTCTCATCATGGTCTTGTAACTCCCACCAAATGATTGGGTGGGACTATGCAAATAAGGTGCCTGGTGCTCTAGTGGGAATGGGACCATGCAAATAAGGTGTATGGAACCTTAATGAGGGGATTGGTCAGTTTTGCCATCCTGCTAGGCTTAAAATGAACCATCCCAGAGGCAGAAAGGGAGACCTCAAGACCACCAAGAAGGAAGTGCCAGGAGTGGAACCTCTCCTTTGGACCTGAGATCCCTGTGCTCAGAACTCCTAGACTGAGGAGACAGAGAAAGAGCTGTAACACTGGAGATGGCAAGAAGCAGCAGCAGTAGAGGCAGCAGAACCAGGAGATGGCATGGTGGACTTCCTGGCCCATGGAGCAGGATAGCTGGGTGCCTTCAGGCAGGAGGCTTGCTGGCAGAGTGGGTGCTTCCGGGCACTTATTGGCAGAGCTAAACAGTTTTGTACCACTTGCCAGAGCAGGGCAGAGGCTGAGGGGCCCCGAGAGGCCAAGGGCCAGGGAGAGGTGTGCCTGCGGGCAAGGCTGAAAAGAATCTGTCCTGATTGAAGAACTATATCCTGAGTCGTTTCTTATCCTGAATTGTAACCTGTTACTTCCCTAATGAACCTCATTAATCGTGCGTATGGTCTGTGAGTTCTCTGTGGCCACTGCAAAGAATTATCAAATGCAGTAGAGAGTGCCATGGGAGGAACAGCTGGTGTTAGAATTGGTGAAAAGGTTGGAGAGAGGCAGTATGTGTGACCTCCGGCTCATAGGAATCAGCCATGGGCCGTTGATCTTGATTCTCTCTCCCCCTCATGAAGTTAGAGGCGGTCAGATGCCCCCACTCCGCCATTTTTATAGAAGTTCAAGTAACTTGGCCAAAGTTCATATAGCTTATAAGTGGCAAAGCCAGGTGTCTTATCCCAGAACCCCAAGCTATTTCTCCTGTTCTAGAATACTGTGATAATACTGACTTATTAGATGTCATACATGCCCACTCCAGCATAATCACTTCCATAGATCAGAGATTCTTCAGGTGAGATTCAGGGACCCCAATGGGGGTCTTTAATTTACATGTAGAACTTTGTGTAAGTATCATCCTTTTTGTGGAGAGAGGGAGGTCTTTGGCCTAAAAAAGATTAAGAATTGCTGCCATAGTTGGCTAGTGACTAACTCAACTATGAGTCGTGTATTACTAGTAGTAGTATAGAAACCAAAACCAAACCCACTGCTGTCAAGTGAATTCCGAGTAAAACTACCCATAGGGTTTCCAAGGCTGTAAATCTTTACAGAAACGGATTACTACATCTTTCTCCTGAAGAGTGGCTGGTGGTTTCAAACCTCCGACCTTTTGGTTGGCAGCAGAGCGCATAACCACTGCGCCACCAGGGCTCCTTAGTAGTATACAGATAATGTTTATTAATATAAACTTTCTTACTTAGATTAAAATCCCCTGTGCAAGCCGGCATCGTCTGCCCCCTGCCTGCATCTCCGAGCTTGTCTTGCCTCACTGTCCTGCTTACTTACTGTGCCGCTTCTGCCACACTGACCCTTCTGTTCCTCACATGTGCCTTGCTCCTCCCTCTGGCAGCCTTTGTGCTTGCTGTTCACCAAGATGGAAACATCTTCTCCTAGATCTTTGCATGACAGTCTCTTCATCATGTGGGTCTTAGCCCAGAGGTTACCTCCTGAGAGAGGTCTTCCCAGATCACCCATCTGTAATAGTAGCCTCCCCTCCCCCTTGTGCCACCTATAGTCTCATATGTGTTATTTTCTTCATAGCGCTATCACTCCCTGAAATGATTCTTTTTGCTTATCTGTCAGTTGTTTTAAGTGCCCATGAGTACAAGGTTAATGAGGACAGCAACCTTCTGTATTTTGTCTACCATTGCCTAGATCAATACCTGACCTACATTAAGTATTTAATAAATGCATTATAACCACACAGTATAGTCAGATATTCTTCAGTAGCTTTGCATATTTACCTATTCGATCATTAACCGTTGTACTTGTATAAACTTCCACTGTCTTTTTTTCTCCACTTACACTTCCCACTTTGATCTTCCTGTCCCAGGGTGGTGCAGACAGTTAACATGCTTGGCTGCTAACTGAAAGATTGGATATTTAGGTCACCCAGAGGCACCTCAGAAGAAAGTCTTGGCAATCTACTTCCAGAAAAAGCAACCATTGAAAACCCTATGGAGCACAGTTCTACTCTGATACATATGGGGTCACCATTAGCTGGAATCAGCTCAACAGCACCTGTTTTTTTGAATGTCCTGATTTTTTGAATGTCCCCATCAAACTAGTGTTTCATTGAGCCCAGTGTTCTTTTCTTGTAGGTTGTTATTAGTTGCCATTGAGTTCATTCCAACTCATGGAGACCCCATTTATGCAGAGTAGAACTGCCCCGTAGGGTTTTCAAGGCTGTTACCTTTCAGAAACAGATCACCTAACCTGTCTTCCAAGACACCCCTGGGTGGGTTTGAACTGTCAACCTTTCAGCTAGTAGTCGAGCGCTTAACCTTTTGCACCACCCAGGACTCCCTTTTCCTGTGAGTAGCACCCAGGAATTTTTTGTGGGAGAGCATGGCTGATGGCCTTGCTTTTGAGGGTTAGCAAAGACCTTACACATCTCTCGAATCTCTTGGGAACATGATGTGGATTACCCGTGGAATTATCAAAGCTCCTCTTGAATAAATTAGAAGTCTCATCCTTTTGAGCTTATGGGTTCCTTAGGTTTTCCACTATCTGTATAAAACAGTGGGGAAAAATCATTTATACAGTGTTGAAAATGAGGTTCTTTTTAACTAAGTTGTATGGATCAATCTTTAAGGAATCACTATACAGCAAGATATACTTAAAACTCGGATGGTCTCAGATTTCAAAGGTACTTCAGAATCATCATGAATTGACTCATCTAATACAACAAAAATGAGCCTCTTCGGTGGTATTCTTCCTGTTTGTAATCTGGATAAAGATTATTAGAGTTCCTTTTGCTCATTTAAATGACCATCTTCAAACTTTTATCCTCAGTCTAGGCTTTCAAGTAATTGTTCTCTGTACTTGTCAGGATATTAGATTTTGAATGAAAGATGGAAAGCAAAGATAAAAACAAAGTGATTTCTGACTAGTCTTTTGCTTGGCCAGGTTCTGTGTACACAGTTTTCCACCTGGTTCAAGTCCTTACTCTGCGGTGGTGACTGGTGTAGTGCAGAAGGCAGTGAGCTATCGAGAAGTGTGCACCTGAGCTCCATCATTGTGGGTCTAATTTTTGAGTCAGGCTCTGAGCCTCAGGGCCTTGTCTGGCTTTCAGAATCCAAGCTTTGTTGTACTTCTGTTTTAAAGAGTGGAAGATTCCTTTCCATATCATTTGCCAAACCCTGCTTCTAAAAAAAATAATGGAGACAATATGTTCTATCTACCACATAAAGTGGCTGGTGACAAGTAAGAAAAAGGCACCACATGTTTGTTACACTGAAATTGGCGTTGCCGGAATAATGCTATCACTTGTGGACTCTCCTTCTTGCAAGCATTCTGTCCCCCCTGAACTTTTATACGGGATCCAGTTGAGGCACCAAGCCTGTTAGGTTCATCTCCAGAATCACACAGGACTCTCTTGGCCACTGCTTAGTGTCAGACGGAGCTGTTCATTTGGGAATTAGGTTGCAAGAAACAAATTCTGGTTTGTATGTCTTAATTTATTGAAAGAAATTGTTTATCTGATAATTACAGACACCCCTGAAGAAAACCAAGGCCCTCATTGGAGAGATGGGGATGACTTTCTCCAGTGCAGTAAGTTTTAAAGCTAATTTAACTTTTTTAAACTTTAATTGTGGTTATGGTCTAAGAAGAAACATTGTCTTCTGGGTGGTTCCTAATGTAATCTACATGTTATTTTGTTTTTTTCCCCCCGGTTAAATACCTGATCTGAAAGTAAGACTTTACTTAATGTGATGTAAATTACTTTTAATTGAAATATTTCTTCTTACTAATTGAAGATTAATTGCAAGTATTTTCTAAGCCAATCTGTTCTACAACTCAGAACTAGAAAAATTTATTTAAAGCCTCACTGTTTAAGATATGAAAGTAGATTTAAGAATTAAGTAACATTTACGCTTAGTAAATGGTTCCATAGTAAAAACTTGCAGGTTGCTTTACAAAGCCTTGTTAACTCTGATAGCACAGCCTGACAGAGTACCACCAAAAAAAGAGAAAAGAAGAAAAATGCACACACACACATACACACTAGTTTTGTGTATAAACATAGATGCAAAGATCCAAAGTAAAATATTAGCAAATCAAATTCAGGAACCATGCAGCTGGTATTTTAGGAATGAAAGATAGCTTCATATTAGAAAACCCACTGAATAGCACTAAAGTGTTGTGCTTGAGAAAACAGACTCTGGAGCCAGACTGCCTAGTTTCAAATACTTTCTCTTCTTCTTTTCCAGCTGTGTGACCTTGGGCAAGTTATTTAACCTCTCAGGCCCATTTGGTTTCCCCATTTGTAAATGGAGGTAATAGTACCTACTTCAGGCTTTTTGTGAGGTTAAGTGAGTTGATACATGTAAAGCACACTTATATCAGTGGCTGACTTACAGTCATATAGTAATGTTGATAATTGTCTACCAATATGACATCAATAACTGAAAAAAGGAAAAGCAGTTGATCATCTTAATAGATGCTTGAAAGCCCTCTGAAAATTTGGTATCTTTTCCTGGTAACTTATTAAACTGGTAGAAGACTGTATCCTTACTATGAAGAATATTTCAAACGAAATGACACATCTCATACTTAAAATGAAAAACCAGGGGTGTGGCTGTTAGGGACAAGAGAAGGGCCTAACACCTCTCATTAATGTCGTCCTGGAAAGTCTAGTCATTGCCATAAGGCTCATGGAAACAAGTAAACCTATTGGAAAAAAGACAAAATTTTTATTTCCACTTGTTTGGATTTTCTGCCTAAAAAACACAGGAGAATTTTTGGAAAACTTTTTAAGTTAATAGAATTCAGTTTTGTAAAAATGAAAAAATAAAAATTAATAACTTTCTTCCATGTAACCAGTTAGAGAAATAAAAGGGCAGGCGAGAAGATTCCATTTATAATAGCAGCAAAATTTCAATTCTAAGAATAGCCGATGGTGGCAAAAAATGGTTAGTAACTATGTAAATAAAGTTACAGAAGTTACCGAGTGACATAATGGAAGTACTTAAGTAGATATGCACATCATTTTCTGTGGGAAGACACAACATTATAGAATGTTTATTTTTATCAGAATCTCAACAAGATTTTCCTAGACACACTTCAGTGATACCAAAAGTTAACCTGGAATGATAAGTAGGTAAGAACAATCAAGGTAATTTTTTAAAAGGAAGAAATTGCCCTACCAGATACTTAAATGCAATGTGAAAATACAAAAAACAGTGTACTGCTGGCCATAAAATAGAACAGAAACAGAAAGGGAAATAAGAGAGCTGCCAATGTAAAGATTACAGAAAGTGAAACATCTAACAAAATTAAAGGCGAAAGTAAAAAATGGGAAGTATTTATAACATAACTGAGTCCTTCGTTAACTCAAATCTTATGTAACAAGAAGCCAACAGCCCAGGAGGAAAAACGGGCAAGGCATATGAATAGACAATTCACATAAGCACAGTTGGTCAGTACACATGTATGGAGATCGTTCATCCTCAGCAATATTTAAAAATACAAAATCCCATTTGAAAGGGAAAAAAAGTCCTGATTATTTAAAGGAGATAGCATCTAGTTTTGCAAAGGTATGCCAGAAGGGCATTCATTTTTTTGCTGGTGAGAGTGTAAGCTAGTATTAACTTTTCTGGAAAGTGGCTTGGTGATGTGTATTAAGACCTGTGCAAATATTATTTAGTAGAATGGGGAAAGTCATTGATAACAGTAGGTAATAGAAACATAGAGTAGGAAAAAAAGAATCTATGTCCAGGGTATTAAGTAATACAGGAGATGTATAAAGCTACATCGGCCTGAAATGAACCTCTGTTTTTCAGTTACATCAAATTCAAGTAGTTTTCTTTACCTTTGGTTAAGACCCAGCTCCCGCCATTCTGTGCCGCTTGCTATAAATATTATTTCTCCAGGGGGATGAGATTAGAATTACTGTTATGTTTTCCTGCGGATGGAAACCAGTTGAAAAAGAAATCTGTTCCCTCCGCTTGTTTTATCAGCTTTATTATGTCCGTTACATGACATAAAGCAGCTCTGAAGTGTGTGTCATGTAACGAAAATCTCTAGTCCGTGGAAAAATTAAAATTCCAAGTTTTATAGTGTTGAGCAGCTTTCTTTATTCTCTTCAGAAATGATGAGAAATCCATCTTCCTTGTGTAACTGTCTTTTTTCTTATGTTCCCTTTGTAGTATGTGCCGACTGCTCTTTGCTGCCCCAGCCGAGCCAGTATCCTGACGGGGAAGTACCCACATAATCATCACGTTGTTAACAACACCTTAGAGGGAAACTGCAGTAGTAACTCTTGGCAGAAGATCCAAGAACCAAATACTTTCCCAGCAATCCTCAGTTCAGTGTGTGGTTATCAAACCTTTTTTGCAGGGAAATACCTAAATGAGGTATGTTGAGTGGTCTAATTATTTCTCTCTCCTCTTTTTTTTTTTTTTTAAATAATAGCTTATTAAATGTAAATTAATATAATTCACATTAATCATTTCTTAATTAGTATCAAGTCAAATTATGTTAAAGGATTTTTGGTGTATTTTTTTTTCCTAATATATTAAACAAAAACGCACTTACGGGATTTGGGTAGTGTACTCTTCCTTTAAATAGTCACCAGAGCATTTGTTTAAAAGTTGTCTTAAGACCACTGCTTTCTGATACATCTTCCCTTTTTTCCTCAGAAATTCTGCTTGTCATGTGTCTTTCATCTTTTGTTTCCATTTTCTCTTTATCAGAGTGAATTTTTTTTTTTTTTTTTTACTCTTAGAATCTTTCTTCAGATTTCTGGAATCTTTTCTGAATTATAACAACTTAGTGCTTTACTCGTTTTCTCACCTGCAAAATGAGGGCAGGATGTGGAGAGATCACTGATGAAAGGACAAGCACCCTGAGCCTGGAGCACTCAGGCCATTAAGCAAATGCTTCCGAAGTCTGGATGAAGGGATACCCATTGTGACCTGTCAAGGGTCTCACTCGAGAAAATAATTACAGCCTCAGATTTCATGGCCCCAAGTTCACCACATTGGCCTTAGCTTTTAGTCAAAAGTCCAAGTTTAAAGAAATAGTGTGTGTGGGAGTATTTGGGGTTAACACTTACAGTAAAACTGGGGATGCAAGACAAAGAGAAGATGTACATTTTCTGATCCACTTTGTAGTTGCTAGACATTTTTAATGTCTGATCTGAATTTTCTGTTAATTCTCTCCTTTCCCCCGATAATTGGGGGATTCTGCAACTTTATGGGTTTAAAGGAAGATGAGTCAAGTTTGAAAAGAACTGGGGGAAGTAAGAACAGGTATGGATACTTGGTTACTGGATTGAGGCAGTGGGTCATGAGAACTTATACTACCTTGCATATTAAAGGTCACCTAACGTATAAAATCAGAGAAATTCTTTAAAGTACAAAAATTCAGTTCTCAGGCATTAAATTCTGCTTGGAGGGCAGTGTTAAATCTTATTGAGATGAAGGGTCGTTCTGTGGTCTCTTCACTTATTCAACTCATCAGCTAAATTGAACTCCAAAAGTAGATTCCGTCAGCAGGATAACTGAAGTAATAGACTTGACAGCTCATCGTCTGATTATTTTGACTGTTATTAGCCACAAGGTCAGTTAAATCAAGGAGTATTAAATCTATGCCATCAGTAGCTCAGTACTCACCTGGTGAATGGTTGAGTTGATGGTTCCTGTGGGATAGGCCATATGAACTTTTTCTGTAAGGGTCCACATAATAAATATTTCAGGTTTTGCAGGCCATACATCCCTGTCGCAACTACTCAACTCTGCCGTTGTAGCATGAAAACAGCCATAGATATTATGTAAATGAATGAGTGTGGCTGTGTTCCAATAAAACTTTTTTTATGGTCACTAAAATTGGAGTTTCATATAACTTTCACATGTCATGAAATATTTTTCTTTTGATTGGTTTTTACATTTTTAAATGGTTAAAAAAAAAATCCTTAGCTTGAGGCCATATAGAACAGGCCATGGACCCACCAGTTGTAGCTTGCCAACTCCTGCTTTAGAAGTTCCTAGAATTATGGTGTCCTTTACTTTTTGACTAGTTTACGTATTTAGGAAAATTGAGCACCTACTGTGTTTCAAGCACTGATCTAAAAATATGCTAAAAATTACCTGTTATTTATTTATTTATTTTCCCCCTGGTCAGGTCATGTTTAGGAACTTCTAATGTCCAGCTTGTCTTCCTTTTCAGTATGGAGCCCCTGGCGCAGGTGGACTAGAACACGTTCCTCTCGGCTGGAGTTACTGGTATGCCTTGGTGAGTAATTATTGAAGTCAGTAACCACTATATGTAGGCCTACAGGTGAGCATGTGTTCACCATATAATTTAACTCTAATATTGACATATTTAGTTTGATATTTACCATTGCTGTTTTATCTTCTTAAAAGAAAGTCTGTTGATTTGTGAGTCACTCCTTTCTGGGATGTATCACGGTTTGTTGATCTACCTGATCTACTTCTGGCTTTTAAATTAGAAAGTATGGAAACTCTACTAGTAGTTAATAAAACCCTGGTTAAAAAATCCAGTGCGGTATTGACTTGGGTAATTGCCTTTTTTTTTTATATCTTATCACTGTTTAACCAGTGTTCAGTTGAGGCTAGCCTGGATTCAGACTTTTTATTTTGTGTGCTGAGATAGTAATAAATTTTACTTTCCTATTTTTATTTTTTAACTAGGAGAAGAATTCTAAATACTACAATTATACCCTCTCTATCAATGGGAAGGCACGGAAGCATGGTGAAAACTACAGTGTGGACTACCTGACAGATGTTTTGGTGAGTTACTGAAGCTCTGCCTGGCAGGGTTTGCTCACGTTTGACTAAAGACTGTGTAGAAAACCTTTAGTCTTACTTGGTCACATGGGTAACGTAAATGCATAAATAGCTTGGTCTAACTGTCAAAGAATATTTCCAACTGATTAAAAACACATGAAGATGTTTTTCTTTGTCTATAAGCCAGGCTTAGATCTAATGTTCATGAAATTCCAGCAACAAATC